TGAAGCCGACGCACGTTCTCCATGTCCCATTAGGTTTGATTACTAGGACAGGGTTTGAAACCCATCTGGGATAGTGAGCATCCCTAATGAAGTTGTTATTGATGAGCTTGTCGACCTCTTACTTCAAAGCCTCGTACCTTTTTGGATTCATCGGTCGGCATTTTTGGCATTTTGGGGGGTAAGTGGGGTCGACGTTCAGAGCATGACACATGACTTAGGAGTCGATGCCTTCCATGTCTGCATGCGTCCAAGCAAACACATCCAGATTCGAGCACCGACGGCAGATCCGACCCTATCTTCAGTACCCTCGTCGGTTCCTGCGGATCCACCTGGACTTCCACCAGCTGCTCGATTGGTTGGGACCATGATTCTTCCGTGACCCTAGGGTCTATGTATTCAACCGGTCCCTGTTGTACCGATCTCACCTCTAGCTTCCCTGGCTGATCGTACCCGCGTATGGCGTCCGAGTATGCTACTCTAGACTCGTATTGGTTGCTTTTTATTTTCCCTATGCCATTAGGCGTTGGAAACTTGACCTTTTGGTGATAAATGGAGGTTATCGCCTTTAGTGCCTGAAGGGTCGTCTTTCCAATTACAGCGTTATACTGGGAGCCCCCTTTGATTACCACAAAATTTGCCATTGTGGTTGCCTGCCTGGGTTTCACTCCCACAGTTATCGGCATCCGGATCATCCCTTGGGGGATGACTGAGTCTCCCGTGAAGCCATACAACGATCGGGACGTATTTCCAATTGCTCCTTGGGAATCTCCATTTTTTCTAAGCAATCAGAGTATAAAATGTCCACCGATCTCCTGTTGTCCACCAGGATCCTACATACGGTGTGGTTCCCAACAACTACCTCTACGACCAAGGCATCATTGTGGGGCAAATGGACCCCGTTTACGTCCTCCTCGGTGAATGCCACGTCAGTGCTACCGAATTTGGCCGTTTTGGCGGTGGAAAGGGTCCAAAACCTCTCCCGGTGTACCCCCTTGCCTCGTGGGCATAACTCTTCTGGGACTTCCTGGAATCTCTCCCGAGATACGGTCCCCCATGTTTGGTCCTTATGACGCCGACCGGCTCGCGATCTTCCCATCGTCAATTCTCTTCCTGGCATCGACCGCCATTTCTGGGAACATGACCTCGCCTTTCAGTCTTAAACTCTTGCAACCTCCCCTCACGGATTAACCTTTCGATTTCATCCTTTAGGTCGGCGCAATCGTTGGTGTTGTGGCCGACGTCGCCGTGGAACCGGCAATACTTGCTCTGATTCTTCCGATTTGGGTCTGACTTCATCGGCTCAGGCCGGCGTAATAAATTTCCTCGCCCGACCTAATTAAATACTTCCTCGACGCCTATAGTGAGCTCGTGGTAGGAGTCATACTGTTGGAATGACCGAGGCTTTCGATTTTCCTCTTGCCTTGGCTTCTTTGTCTCCGGAGGGTTTGGCGTCGACGCAGCATGCTTCTCTCTATTTCCTCCGCCTCGTCGTTTCTGATTATCTTGTTTCCCCGAGGTCGACCCCTATTCTAGTCCTTTGTTTTTATTGGACCTGTGCTCGGGATCGTTCACGTCGGCTTCCTCAGTGTTGATATACCCTTAAGCATGTGCCAGAAACTCTTTATAGGTGGCCGGAGGCTTTCGGTTCAAGTCGCGCTTAAACGGTGTGGTCTTTTTCATGCTGGACAGGGCCCCCATCAGAGCCTCCTGGTCTGTCATATCCGTTGTAGCGGTGACGGCTTCCCCATACCTTGCAAGCCATTCTTTTAATGACTCATTTGGTTTTTGGTATACCATCGTTAGGTTTTGCTTCGGCGGGATATACTTCTCTACCCCAATGAATTGAAGGGAGAAGGCTTCATTCAGCTCCTCCCAGCTGGAGATGGACTCTGGTTTGAGTGTTCGGAACCATCTTCGGGCAGAGTCCGTCAAATGGTTCCGGAATGCTCGGCACATTATCTCCTACGCATATCTGTGCAGAAGCATGTGCCCTGTTTACATTTCTAGGTGGTCGTCGGGATCCCCTCTGCCATCGTACGGTGGGATAGTCGGGGACTTGTATTTGTCGGGTAAAGGAGGCGTCATGATCTCTGCGGTAGAAGGGTGGTCATGAGTTCGGATGGGCGTGATGTCGACGTTGACCAGCTCTACCACATGTCCAAGACTCTTTTGTAGGTCGCTCACCTAGCTTCTGACGTCTTTCTTTAAGCCGGTGACGTCACCTGTGAACTTTTCTTCTAGGCTCGTCACACGCTCCATAATGGCTTTTGCCTCTTCTGTAGAGATGGCAGAGCTGACCCCTCTCGAGGCTCTTGCCTTCTTTGTGTTTAGCTTATCCCTCGGGTCCCCGCCTTCTTGCACCGACCCCGAATCTCTTAGGATATTCTTTCCTGAGTTTCGAGGTGGCACCTCAGGGTTTTCCAAGCCGGCGAGCGCTCTTCTCTCCTGGGTTCGTCGCCTGGCGGCCTTTTGTTGGCTACCAAGGGACTTAGACGGTCGAGGTCTTAGGTTATCTCCCCTAGCGTTTTCATTGTCCCCGATCCCTTCCGGGGCCCCCTGGCGGTCACCAGTATCCTGGTTTCCAGCCATGGCAGCTCCTGGTGGTCTCAGGGCATCTTCTAAGGGAGGCATGGAATTTCTTCCTTCCAATCGCTTGACAACGGTCGTTAGTCCTCGAACCAAGTCGGTCAGAGTGTCCAGCCGAGCCTGCATCTGTACTGGGTCAAGCTGCGGCGTGCCTGTGGGTGGAACTTCATCCCTCACCGGGGGTTGATTCCCCTGGTCGGGATGATTCCTCCCACTCCCGCTATTGGTTGGATGCGTGGTATTTTCCTCCGTTTGGCTGGTTGGATTTGAAGCACCATTTTTTCTTCTCAGAGGCATGATCGTTTGTTGTCTGGGGTTAAACGCGTGAACCAGAGATTCTGGGTTCGGTCCCCAGTGGAGTCGCCAATTGTTGACGGTCGATTTTCGTCAACAATACCTTACCGGATTACCTCGCGGTAGCCTGTTGGGTTACCGGATTGAAACTTATAGTTTTACTAGATTTGCTCACATATATTGGTGTATTGTGAAGTGAACGCTATGTCTTTCTGAATAATAACGACAAAAAGGTTTTATAGTGGTTCACCCTTCCAAAAAGAGCTATATCCACTGTATTATATTTCTCTTGTTTTGGTTCTTACAAATTACATATATCGAAAAGAAAGGAGAGCCCTTCTCTCTCGGGGGTCTTCTCCCTTTTATAGCCTGCATTCACTGAGCTTTACCCAACGGCAGTCACTTTGGACAATTGGGCCTTTTCTTCCAGGGGGCCCATTCACTCGAGTGGTCTATTGCCTTATTTGCCTAGACCGTAACCTGTCAGCACCTTTTGGACTGTTCACTCATCCAATTTGTCCCCCTATTACAGCTCTGTAGATCCTATGTAGCATTTATTGATCCGTTTTGGGCGGTTTAGGGGCTTGTAATCATTTCCTGTTCAACTGACCTTCTCCAAACCCAGACACAACCTTGGGATATTCGGCTGATCTTTTCAAGGGTCTCCGTTGGGATGTGGATCTAGTTGCTTGTGCTCTGCCGTCTGCGCCTATGCTAAAATATGCCAAGGGTAGCCTTTCTCATGGCCGACTTTATCGTGTTATTTCGCGTGAGCTGGTCTCGCAGACCTCGACTGTGTATATGGTCGGCGGTCTCAGCTCCCCTATACATTCGGCTCTCATGTCATACGGGAGAGGCCAATGAGGCTCAGGCGTCGAGGGCTAACTGGCGTGGCAGGCATGGGGCCATGTGTGGCCTGATCGTTGTCCGACGTGTCGATGTGAATTTTCCCATACGACATATATAATAGCTATTTGGGTTCATGATTAAGCTCAAGTTCCAAGTTCATATTGAAAGGCTTTCATTCTATTTCTCCACTTTGCCTCTTAAGAGATTTAGAGTTTAAAGCTGCTGTATGCGTTTCGCTCCTTTTTCTATGTTTGGTTATTTTTGGAATAAGTGGAGAAAAAAAATACTAAGTTGATTGGTAAAATAAGAGATGTAAGCCATTTACTTACTGAAATTTTTAATAAAAGTGTAGTTCGAGATTGTTAGTTTACTAATCCATCTCAAAGACTTAAGTTATTAAAAGATGAATCAATAATAGTTTTATATTCTAACGAGAACTATCATTTCAAGCTAAATAGACTCATACGTGACCTCGTTTGATTTTTTTAGTTAAACCTATTCCCAAAATTTTGAGCCATCACCACACCAATTATCTAATATCAGGCACTCGTATCTCTTCATATATTCACTTGTGGTGTCTTGGGACTTTTTAGTAATTCTTTCAATTATGATTGTAGAAGGAATTACATTTCACCACCGTTTTAAATGGTCTTATATTTCCAAAAATACTACCCATATAGTGGATATGAAAACCTAAAGAGATTAATTTCTAATACGATTAAAAAAGCTCTATAATAAGGAGATTTCTCTGATGAACACTAAAAAAAAAAAAAAAAAACTAGCAAAAATATTATTTTTAAACATTAGATCCGTATTAAAATTTTTTTTACTCTAACGTGATTTTAACTAGATCTAAGTTTTAAGAATTAGAAACCCTCTAATAATTAAAACCACTGACACAAACCAAATCTCCTCTTATATGTGTCCCAACTTCCAAGCTTTCAAGCTTAAGCATTTACTGAAAGATTGGATTCGGTTTCCACCTCTAGATCTGGCATATATGTTTGCATACACATTTTTACACTCGAACGTGTAGGTATATGCATACACATATTTCATTAAAGCTGTTTTCTGTCTGTAACTTATGCCCATCCATCTTTTATTTCTTTGATTTGACCCAACAAACAAAAGAAAATTTTTAACTTTTCTTCATTTCTTCCTTCCTACTCTTTCCAAGTACCAAAAACAAGCCTTAATTTGACAGCTCAACAATAAATAGAACAAAACAAACATGTAAAGGAAATGCACCTCATGAAAGATACAGCAAGGAGTAGAAGATAAAAGACATATTTCTCTGCATTTATTCAAGTAGTCAAAGGTGTACAAGGAGCCCCCCCTGCTACAAAAAGAATAAAGAACCTAGAAGCAACGTTAAAACCTGAAACGAGTGGTGAGTGAGAATACCCACTTCCCTCGCCAAGAATTTTTAGTAACAAAAAGAAATTTACATCAAAGTCACTAAATCCGAACACTAAACTTTCAAAAGAAGACTTTGCAGGAAGGTTCTCCTGCCAAAGACGGAAAAATACTTCGGCCCGAGAACCTTAAGAATCACCAACCGTGCGTGTTGCCCCAATTCGAGGCCTGCACAAAGAATATGAATTTTCCTTAACCTAAGGTTAATCTGTCACTGCTCCCAGAATCAGAATAAATCTTTAGCTTTTCTTTTCCGTGTTGTTAGGACCCCATTAGAGAAAATGAAGTTAGCAAAGTCAGGCTTCTAGATGATGGCTCCAGAGGGCAGGGCAACCAAAAACTTTGTACTGTCACTTCTTGATGGAGGCATCCAATTATAGTCCTTTCTCAATCTAACCTGCTCTCTGACCCTAAAAATGTAGGACCTCTGACTTTAAGGCGCTTCGGCCCGATCTCTATAGGGGGTGATTCCCTCATGCTCTTACTAAATTCAAGCTGAAGCCTATCCTTTCTCGGCTGCTCTCGCTGTCTGTTGATATCGTGATCACTGGTAAGTTTCTTGAACTTAATAGAGATGGGAATGGTACTTCCTCTAGCGGACCTGTCTGCCAAAGCAATCTCTGGAGCTCTATGATTAGTGGTGGTTAATTTAGAATTCGATTCAACAATTCTGAAGCAATCTGACGAAGTAACCCCCCCAGTTCTTCCTTCAGGTTGGAATTTCTTAAGTCGTTTGAACCCCTGTGTGGTTGGACATGTAACATTTAGCAAGCAGCGTAATACATAAGAAGATGAAAATTGAAGAAAAATTTAACTTAAACTAACAATATACTAAAAAGACGTAGGATAGTGGTTCAACAGATTCCAGACATCTGACTCCAGTTTTATTGATTTATTGATCCCAATAAAACTGTTTTAATTTTTTGAAAAGCTCACTTAGTTGCAGATGACATGCAAAATACTTATTCACTAAAGAAATAGATGGGGAAAAGTCCTCGCCTTATAAGCTGTTTTGATTTCTTTTGTCTTTTATTGGCCCAAATAGGTAATAATTCAAAAGAGAGAAGTTCTATAACATTAAAGTGTCTAAACATTCAAAAAACAAAAACGAAAAAAGAAAACAAAAACGAAAACGAAAATTTCAGAAATTTAACCTGGAGATCCATCAGATTCCAAAGCTTGAGAGACAAAGAAAAAGGGATTCTATAAAATATGTACCTGGTGGTCAGAATGCATTGATTTTTTGCCATCATTGGTGTTCCTCTTGTCCACCTTTTGTGTAGAACGACGCTTAACCCTGAATATCTCTGAATCAGAATCATCACTGTCTTGATGTACAGCAGGCCTAGCATTTGTTGCACGGAAATTGTCAGGATAAGCATTCAAGTGTTCATCACATGACGAGGAGGATAGACAAGATTCAACTGCACTCCGTGACGGTTCTTCTGACGACTTTCTAGAATCAATATTCTTTGTATGAAAGCTAGTGTTACCATATACCTGGATGGAAAAATGTCGCAAGCAAAATATTGTACAACTAATTAGAGAATCAAGCATACTTGTCATCCACGTTACTCGTGAAGCCAAAAAAAAAAATCAAGTGGAATGTATATCAGGATACACAAGGCAAGCCCAATTAAGAGAGAGCTGTATCTTACATTGTTGGAAGCGGATGCACTCTCCAAAGGCTCTGCCAAAGAACAAAGAGTTGATACGACACAAGAAGTAGAAGTTTCTGACACATCAGAATTTAAACTTATCGTCCCACTATTCAGCATGGGTGCAATACGGGAAACAGGCTCAAGCTCTTGTGATTCATTCTGAGCTGTATCACCGAATGTGGGGATGGACACAGGTTTTATGGTACAGTAAGGAAAATATCCATCTTCAATTCCGCTAGATATATTCAATGATGGATATGAATAGAGGCCATCACCACTTTTAGCTTGCTGGTTAATCTCCCCCATTATTCCAGCTTCCATTTCAAACTTCTTAGCTGCAACTTCCATTTCTGAAATATCCTCCCTGACAAAGAGAGTGAAATTTCTTCCACACGACAAATCAAGACACCTGACATCTGCAACAAGAAGAGGACATGAGAATGATCTGATACCAATTGAATAACAACTCAGTCCATTCAAATTTTGCAGCATATCGAAATAAGCAATAAATTGTTATTTTTTTTCAATAAAATAAGCATTAAATTGAGACCTTAAATTAAGGGTAAAAATTGCATACCATGACGAAGGCAAACAGGATGCATGTAACAGCCACAGTTGATATAGGCAACATAACAGTCTCTTTTGCATAGGCTGCATACAATAGTTCCATTAGGATTTGGAAAAACACCAGAGCACGCTCCTGATTTAATTAGCAACCAGCGAGCACGATGCTGGAAACGCATGAACTTCACAAAAGAAGTCTTGATGCAACGATGAGTGACTATATCAGCAGAAAAATAATCGGAATCTTCAAGCTCTATACTCATATAGAGAATCATTGCTTCTTTGCAAAGCAGTTCTTCATGAGGAAGCAAAGGCACCCTGTTAAGAAGTGCATAGCGCTGGCTAGCAACAGCACCCAGGGGGAACCAATCACCAATTGCAAAGTTCACTGCTTCTCCACAGTTGAAACCTAAAGTTAAAAAAAAAAAAAAAAAAAAAAAAAAAAAAAAAGATAAAGAGTTTTATTTTCTATAATGCTCACGCACTAATTACAGATGAAAGAGAGGTAGAATAGCAGGGGGGGCAGGTGAAGATCAATGAAATTTGCAGTCCTCTCAAATATCTGATTTAATTTCCATTTGCAGATTCAAGAGCAAGTTGAGTAACCTACCATGACTAAATCCAGCATGATATGCTCTAGGGAAGGTAACTATGAACTCTCCTGGCTTTTGTACTGCCTTATAAACAGGGATACCATGTTCAACCAAAATATTTGGAGGAAATAAAGTTGTCTTCCCTAACAGAACATCAAAAGCCCCATCCTCCCCATCAGTAGAAAGGATATCGTGGGTATACACGTGTTCCCTGACAACCTTTTCAAACTGCAAAGCAGCATGACCTGGAATGCCATACCAGGTTTTTGATGCCCCACAATGATGGTAATTAATACTGCCATAAAATAGGAAAATATGAATGCAACGTCGGATAGAATAATAGCTTTCCTACAATAAAAGTAAGAATAACATGTACCTGTACAAATAGTGATCCTCCACGTGCCAAGCAAACACACTAAATAGCATGCCAATGTACAACATAGGATCAGTTACGCCCTGTAATAAACAGAAAGTTAGCAGACGAATTGGAATTTTTATAATAACAATAGCAAGAATCCAGGTAAGAAATATTGTCATTACCGGAATTGCTGTTTCAAGAAGACGCAGCACGGACTTTGGTAGCCTTGACAGTCTCTGAAATCAAAGAATGAGATGGAAATTGGATCAGCTCATGTACATGCAGAACACATCAAGGAAAAAGAAGCAGAAAACTAAATCCTAAATTATTCAAATTCAATCTGAGAGAGGGAAGAAGTAAATGTGCATGTCAATAAACTATCAACAGAACAGAAATGTAGTCATGAACAACGAGAAAAGGTAATTACTCCTATCCAAAATAATGGAAGGAGAGAAGGGGAAATCACAGTACAAGGGAACAGGTGGGAAAATCAAAGTGTATGAGAGAGGAGAAAGGGAAAGTACAAGATAATTTCTTTAAATCAGTCGCATTAGAGGCACATAAGAAGCTGAGAAATTAAGCCCTATCAGTCAGTGGCTCAATCTCCTAGAATCTAACATAAAAAAGTAACTCAATGTCCAGCTACTTGTATGTCCATTGTTATGATGCACATTAAATTGGCCAAAAAGATTCCCTCAGTTCCATATGACAAATTGTAGTATTCAAGGAGAATTCGATAGTGGATATTCTTGGGTATCTCTGCACAATATAATTGAAAAAATTTACCAGATTCTACAATATAGTTTAAATGTGTTAAGGGGATGTTGAGATGCTCTCCACTAGTGGCAAAAAATGAGCACTAATGAGCAACTACAAGCAGAAAAAGAGAAAACTGTCTTAGAATTATATATATATATATATATATATATATTATTACATATATATATATATAGACACACATACACGTACATATAGGGAGAGTGAGGTTACGAAATTAATTAATCAGCTACATCATATATAACTAATTTGAACTATTGATTTCTTCAAGTTTTCCAGGAATTTTACGCTAGAACTAAATGACACCTTATCCAAACAAATAACTGAAACAGATGAAAGATTAGCAGAACCAACACCTTCAAGTTCCATTTGCTACACCCAAGCTCATCATCAGGAGAAGATGAAAAGGCAGTCCCATCAACATCACATGCATATTCAACAGTTTCTGTCTTTCCACAAGCAATTTCATGCCAAAATTCCTTTTCCAAATATGTGGGTGGGAGACATCCAGCACTGTAATATCGACGAGAAAAAACCTTGTTCGCCATTTTCTCGAAATCGCGGAAGGTATAATTTCTGAAAATTACAGTCAAACTCAGAACGACAAACAAAATCCAAAATTAGCTTCATCTTGTTATTTAGTAGGAGCACTCACCTTCCGCTCATGAAAAATGTGACCTTATCATCAGTGTCCCATTCAGCAAGACGTAGAGGTTGCACTCTGGTTGTGAACTTGAATCCTGCTTTCTCCTTCATCAAAACAACCCCAGCTGGAACAGAAGCAGTCAAGGGGGAAACAATCTTGATCATACCTGAAATGATCACGGTAGATTTCAAAAGATAAATAGGTCATTCCTTTCAGAAAAAATAAAATAAAATAAAACCTAAATGCTTATGTTTCTATTTTTTGAGATTTCAGCCAAAAAAGAAAAGGTGGTTTGAGTGACTACAGCTGCTGGAACAAAACACAGAAATTAACAAATTACAAAAAACAAAAACAAAGAGGTGCAATACAATCTTTAGGAAATACTATCTATAGAAACAGCCAAAATAGCAAAAGATAAAACAAATGACATTGAAATTTTGGGTTATCTGCCAAGTAAAATCAATGACATTTTGAATTTAGAGAGTGGATGTGAGCAAACTCCACCAACTAGTGATTTAATTAGTTCTAAGCACTAGCTTATTCTGTTAATAAAGTTCGGGAGAAGCATCGAGACCATAAACTAATGGATGCACATTACTGTGCATTTCCATTTGTTTTAGTACATTTACTAAATAAGTACAAAATGTAAATAAATGTCAATTGATGTGCACACGGCATAGAAAATTATAGGCATGTGCATGTAAAGGAGCACGCATGCAACAAAATCAGTGGTTCAAAAGTATGGTCTCCATACTTGCAAAAAACTTGACATAGAATGGCATCAGCCGAATATCAGTAGAAAAAATTATGAAATAGATTACCATATCTTGAAGCTTCTGGAGCTATCTTCTGCAAATAAACCAAAGGATCCTCAAACTCCTCCTTTGTCGGACAATATACGGGACACTCAGGAATTTTTTCTGTCCATTCCAGATCACTTGTATCGAATTTATCAACCTTACGCTTTGAAATAACATCCTTCCCATTTAAAGCACCATTGGGGTGAGAAAATAAATATGAGTTACTGTGCAATCTAACACCGCAAGATGCTGAAGCTCTTAAAGCATCCCCTCCACTTCGAGCCATCATATTGCTGATACTTACAGGCTCTGTAACAGTGTTGGATTTCATACGCTGAAGCCTTTTGCGCTTCAGAAATTCTAATCCATTTTTAACCTCTTTTGATAAACAAACCCTTCGCTCCACCTATCACATAAGCAATGAGATATGCTACATTAGAAGTAGAACATTGATGCACATAATGAATGCGAGTTAATTAACTAGCAAGTTAAAAATTAGTCAACTAACAAAGCAAGAAAAAATAAGCCAAATAACGTAAGTGACCAAAGTAATTAATCTCTACTGCAATGATGTTCTACTGTAGTTCCAGTTTTGGCATGAACAGTGGTATTCATCAAAGCCAACAAACCAATGACACATACCACATTATACACGATTACAGAACCAAACCCCCGGAGAAAAAAAAAGGAAAAAAAAAAAAAAAAAGAAAAAAAAAAAAAAAAAGAAAAAAAAAAAAAAAAAGAAAAAAAAAAAAAAAAAGAAAAAAAAAAAAAAAAAGAAAAAAAAAAAAAAAAAGAAAAAAAAAAAAAAAAAGACACAAGCGCTTAAAAAGCTGATGAAGAACTTAAACTTGAATTAGTTTCATTAGTCCCCAAGTAACACTACCAAAGAAGGGAATGAACAAAGAAATTAAGTTTTACGCGTCATACCCATTTATGATTCCACTTTTTTTTTCCTTTTTGACAGCAAAGGAAATTAGACCCTCCAAAATTTTAGCACATAGGATGGTTGTAGAGGGTGCAGAATAAACACAACCATACATGGGTCTTCTGTATATCGAGTTGAATACAAGAGAAAGGAGAGAGGATCATATATAAAATGCTCGCTGCTATTTTAAAGTACAAAACTACGTGTATCTCAGGGTCAAAGGTGGGGTTATAAGAGTACATAAAAGCATACAAAAACCCAACAATCTTCAGAAATCAAATGCAAACCGGCAGATCCTGTTACAGTAGTTCCGACTAATCAAAGTTGTCAATTGACAGTTGAAAGTTTCAGCCTTATCCACATGTAAATAAATCATGGGAAAACGTATTCCAGCCAAAGAAGTAAAATATATATTTTTGAAATGTAAAAAAAAAAAGAGTACGAAAAAAAAGCGCCGAAAAATCAAATTCAGCCGTATTCAACAATTGCATGCAGTCAAAGTTAAGGTATCTTCGTCAAAACAATTATTTATACAAAACCAAATGCTGTAAGAGCACGGAAAACATTAAAATGAAAAAGCGCATTAGGAAAATAAATAAAAAAAGAAAAATTTACCTAAATTAGCTATTATTTTTCAAAGAAGAGATTTATAATTGACAATTAAACTCTGAAATACCTTTAGCTGTTTCTCTTCGGAAAAAATCCATGCCAGAAAAACTGAAGGTGAGAAGCAAATTTCCAAAAATAAATTAAAAATTTTCATATATTTCCTTTCAATTACAATTCATGCAGGATTTGTATCACGAACTCTAGGAAATTGTGAAACTCTACAAATCAAGGAACCATAGAGCAATTCCAAAAATATCAAGCAAAACACAGAAGGCAAAATCTATACATCTAATAAAAATATATATAATAGATATAAACAGAAACATTGTTCCCAAAAAAAATAACGAGAATGTATAAAAAACTGAAGGATTGAAACCGAAAGAAAGGGAGATGAAGAAACAGAAAGTGACAAATTCACCGAAACTCGAATAAGAACCAGATAATAGACGAAATTTTTTTAATAGATAAAAATAAAGGAAAACCACGAATCACATACCATCTCATTCCGAAGCCGCTCTCTGTACGCCTCCGTCTTCGTTTCTTTCGCCGAACAAACAGGGGAAAAGCAAAACAACACGCAGACTAACGGAAAAGGAATCGGAATCCGGAAAACCAAACCCTAGATCACGATCCAAGCCACGGCCAACCAACAACGAGTCTCCAACGAGAACCAGGCTCGCCACATTCTCGCAAACAGCCGGGAACAGCACCGAACGGGCTCAGACTCGGAGATCCAGAAACCTCCTTTGAGCCAAACCCACAATATCACCAAGAAACACCGGAGCGAACCAAAACTGACGGAGCCAGCAGTTTTCCGGCGACAGCGAACGCGATTCGCCGGAGAACGAGCGGTTTTCCGGCGGAGAAAAGAGGTTTCCCGACGAGAAGATAAGAAAATAAAAAAAAGGAAAAAAAAAATTGGAGGGAGAGAACAGTAGAAAAGAAAGGAGAGAGAATGAAGGCTTAGAAAACCGAAAAAGATCAAAGAGAAGATAATTTATAGTTTTATACCCAAAAAAAATATAAACGCTTTTTATCTGCATTTAATTTATTTTTACCGTTTCCCCTAATTAATTAATTAGTCGAAATAGAAGGTGTGTGAAGAAGGAAAGTGGGTGGTTGTTAGGTTGGTTCAACCAAACGTCTGCCGGCAAAACCGCGTTTTTTTATTTCCTTTCGCGTTTCGCTGGTTTTGGAAGCTTTCCCGTTCCAACTGGACGAAACTGCCCCGCGGGGACCAGCGCTTCTAGAGAGGCATTTGTAAACTATTGTGGGTGTTTTGGTCAATTAACTCAACGATGCTACCGAAGCGTTCCGTTTCCACTTTCTTGTTGCGCGTCAGGAAAAAAAGGGGAAAGTGTCAGGAAAGAAGGAATTATCACGTGCGTTAAATCACATCTGTGCGTGTACGAATCAGGAAATCCCACCGTCCACTTGGCTGCTGATCTCGGATCTGAACGGTAAGCCAAAGGAGAATCGACCGGATCTGAAAACCCCTTTCGCGTGTACTTTCGTGTGGAAGCTGCTGACTTGCACAGGATCGCTTCCACCTACCTAGCAGTTAGTTGCACATCTTTTAGCAAGTGACGATTTTATCCCCGCTTGGTTACCCAACTCAGGACAAAAGTTTAAGGGTAATTCCGACTTCTCATCAAGTTCCCATATGGAGGGCAATAAAGGGTCGCTTCCCGCAATGTAAGAGGACTAACTACCCCTCATGAGTGACCGAGGATAAAATGTTAAAGAGCAGAAACGAAAGGTTGCAATTGACACGTGGCGAGATAAACAGAGCGCAAAGTACACGTGGCAGAGGTAACCCTGCAGAATCTGGGAACTCACGTATTACTGTGGGTGGGGTTGGCTTCTGCCAGAGGCGAAATAACTGGTGGTTAGAGCAGGTTTCACGCGCCAATATAACCGGCCACAGCCTCTTTTTTTTTTTTTTTTTTTTTTCCTTTCCTTTCCTTTTTTATCACGAGAACCCCAAAGCTATAGGAAAAAAAAATAATATATTCTGAAACCATTGGCAGTTTCCGGTTTCCTGTTAACGCCGTTTGCCACCAAATTTTTTTTATTTTTTTCCCATAACACCCTCTCAAATTTTTAATTTTGATAAATTGTACTATCAGTTGGCAAATCAATAGCAATTGAAATTAAAAAGAATGTTACAAATTGATGGTTAAATACACACACATGATCTGATTTAAAAAATGACGATTTTTATTTTTTATATGTGTATTTCATGTCTCGTGACTAAAATCGTTGAACTTCAATTGTTATTAATTTAAATTTTAAAGTAATTTGTTGAAATTGAAAATGTTAGGTTGGGTGTAACATTGTAATTTCCAGCTTAATCTCTGAATTTTGAAGTATGATCATGCATTTGTTTTCATGTATTATTGTTTAAATCTTTTTACTATAATATTTTTTAAAAAAAAATTTAAATTATTATTCAAATTTTTTTGTTTAAATCTATGAACTAAACAGTCTTACCGGATCATTTCACTTAGAGGATGTTTGATTTATGTATTTAGAATTATTCTCGTTTTACGTATATTTTTTGTTAAAAAATTATAAATCATGATTCAGAATCAAAAACGAATATAAAAAACAAACCTTATTATTTGTTTACGGAAATTCTAATTGAAAGAATTAAATTTGACTAATTTAAAATTTAAAGATAAAATGAGGTTTTGTTCTTTCACAACTTTTTACACATATTCTAGAATTTTTAATATTGGGATATAAGAAGTTTGGGACACATGTAAGTGTAATAATATTAAAAAAAAAAAAAAAAAAACTCTGTTCGTTCCCTCTCTCTTATCCCATTGGTTACCTAGCGCTTTTAGCTTTTGTTACGTGGAGGTTGGGCCTAATGATTAGTTTTCCACAGCGCGAAAACGAAGCCTCAAAATAAGCAGAGAAAATTATTAAAAAGAATAGTAAAACACAATAATTAATTACGTGAAATACTCGGACATCTGACTAATAGTATGTGTAATAGGGTCCTTGGCGGCTCGGCTGTGACGGACCGAGTCAACCGTTCACACTGGTTCTCGGCTCAACGGCTCGGCTTGGCTAATTTAGCTGGCTTAATTGGAGAAGAGAAATATTTTTTTGATTCTTGACAAGAAATGACAAAAGATCCCTTTAAAAGAAAAAAAAAAGTAAAACTTCGGCAATAAATGATCCTATCCCATCACGGAGTCTACTCGTTCGGTACTATACGGGAGAATACTATCCTACGCGCGCCTGTGTGGCAGAAATTGAGCACTCGCGACGATGGTTTGGACAGTTGGCCTGAGGGAGGGTAGTTTCGGAGTTTCAGTCGCGGGGATCGAGGGGAGGAAGGCTGGAGTGGAGTCGGAGAGGTGAGATTCGGAATCCGTTTGATTTCTAAATTAAAATTATGAGATTAAAATTATTTTTAATTTATATATATTTTTTCCTGAATTAAAATTATGAGATTAAAATTATTTTTAATTTATATGTATTTTTTTAAAAAAAAAAAATTATAGTGAATATAAACCCTAATTTAAATTAAGGAACGAATTTTCTAACTAAATGGGTTCTCAGTTTCTAAAAAGTTTCCGAATTGACGAAAATGCCTGATGAACAGTGCGTAATCACTTTAATGCCTTTCACTTTCTGGGTGTGCGTATGTAGGATACAAGGTGTCCTTTTCTTTGGACCACAGAGGAACTTAAGCTAAAGCAAAAATAAAATATATATATACGTGTGTATTTTTAATTGTTGTTCTAATATTTACTTGTAAATGAATATTAATATTTTAATATTAAAATATTAATTTAATTATTATAATAAATTTATATACGTGTGTATTTTTAATTGTTGTTCTAATATTTACTTGTAAATGAATATTAATATTTTAATATTAAAATATTAATTTAATTATTATAATAAATTAAATAATTAATAAAAAACTTTATAGTAATTAATAAGACTGTATTCTTTAAATATATAATATTTTTCATGTTCCTTCATACTGGGCCGTTTGATCCCACAACTTGGGGTCCCCAAAGCAAACTGACCTTTCATGTCATTTTCCTTTTTTTTTTTTTTTTTTTTTTTTTAATGAATCATGGCTTTCAGTAAAAAGAACACCAATAAACGTCGCGTCTCAAATTTTGTCACTTTTAAAATTTAAATTTTTTATGAAAAAAATACAACTATAAAACCAAGAATCATAATTTAAATCAGGCAGAATCATTAGAGTTTGGTTTAGCTGCTTTGAAAAGACAATACTAACATGTGATGTTCGAACCTTAACACCCTCATTATCGCCATTTTCTGGTACCTGGCACCTGCAGGCTGCAACATCAAACATTTTTGTTCTTTTCACCATAGCCATAACTTCTGAATTCTATCACTGTATGTATTTATCAAACTGATCCTAGTATTTTAATTGTAGAAAAAAAAAACTGATTTTAGTATTTCAGTCCATAGACTAGTTAGTAGTCTATCCATTGCCAAATGCCAACCAGAAGCTTCAACAGTTTCTACAGTGGGAGAACGGAAAGTTGTACTGCAACAAGAGCTATGCATTGACCAACTGCATTGACCAACTCGCATATTTAGGAAATTAATCCATTCACATTTAACAATTTCAAATATAAGGACACAATTTTAATTGGAACTGTACATATCGATTTTTTCCAATGCAATTCGTATCACTATATATATTGGGGCCTCTAGTTTCCAAAAAAAATACGGTTTTCCCTTCCTATTAGACAGCTTTATAAGGTCTCAGGACAAAAGAATCGGACAGTGAAAAATTGATAGAGGAAAAAAAATGAAGTTAATTCACGTCCAAATGGACTCTAACCAATCCGATATGTATTCATAAGCCACAAAAGTTACAGCACCAGCCGGTGCGGCTTTGACAGTTGAGGGGACTATCCCCTTGTAGAGACCAGCCAAACCCTCCGACTGCGTAATTCTTCGCAAGGCATCAAACATATTTCTGTAAGCACGGTGTTCCACTCGAGCCCCATACCGTGGGTGCCTTTGTAATCCCTCGATCTGCAAATTCAAAACATTTATGTGGGCTCAATAATAAATTGGTTTGCACAAGTCCAATCTAGCCAACATGTCTTAGAGGTATGAAGCACACTGCCAATATATAGCATTTCTAATTTCCTTGACAACATGCATTTTGCACATGAAAATCTCTTTCTAAAAAAGAATGATTGTTATTAAGATCAGAATTTATCCGCGGTTTTCGTCCGTCTTATATTCTCCTGAGATCTTTGGATTTTGATATTGCACCAAGGGTCTAAGTACGCGTTTTAACTAAAAAAGAGGTAAAAGCTAATAAAGTTCTTCAACAAACTACAACCTAACTGGCTCCTTTCACATACAAAACAACTTAACCACCAATGTTCTACAAGAAACATGTGAATCAGGTAGCAATTAAAAAATTAACGTTAGTAGAATTTAGAGCGATACTGGATATAAAGTTTACAAAGTGCAAAAGTGTACCTGGAATCTTTTCTTGACAACATCAAGTGGATGACAGACAAGTTTGGCACACGTCCCAGCTGCTAATCCACAAAGAAAAAGCTGAAAGCTTGAAACGCCATCATCTCCGTTGATTGAGTTTGTCTTTGATAATTGGCTTCGGTTCCAAGCCTGCATTGAAAACAGTATATCATCGGATCTAAATTCATCACCTGCATTGAGGTTTCAAATCCTATTTTGCGTAAAGTGATTAAATACATAAAACAAATATAGTGAAAAGCTCAGTTCTCTTAAGAATTCTAGTGAATTCTGGCAAGCAAGACATAAAGTGAAGTTCATGGAATGAATAGTGTGAACAGTCTTTTCTATGCACGCAATTTCACAGATGTCTATGCGTGTGAATAACTGAAGTATATACTTATCAAATGCTCTTCTTCACACAAGAATCCCATTATCCTACTTTTAATTCTCAAATATATCAGCTGTGGAGAATCTCTATAGAACAGGTAGAACTCACCAATGTCCAGCGCTTAAATGTATCATACGTGCCAAATTGTAAACCCGCATAAGGAACAATCTCAACCAACGTTGGTGACAATCCAGCATATAACCCTCGGGCACCACGTGTTCTAATTATATCAAGAAATGCAGAGCTCATAGTGGGATAAACCTGAAGTTGGGTGCATTGTTAGTAAGACATTTACTTTTAAAGGTGAGAAAAATAAAAGATGTATGCATATTCACACCTTAGGTTCTCCCTGAGAAGCTAATATAGTTCGCAGAAGATCAAATGGATACGATCCAACAGTAGCAGCACACCCTGCTAATGCTCCACTGATATAAGAAAGGTATGGACTCAAATTAATGTGATCCTCTGCATCAGAAAACCAATTATGAGAGACGTAACAGTAAGGCAATGAAACAAAATAAGAAAATATTGGGGCTCAGAGAGAGCTGACTGGACGAGAGGAAAACAAGAATAAGAAGATCAAACCGTATTTAATTACCATCCCTCCATCAGAAACAGAATAGCTACATAATCTACTCAACTCAAACTTTGAACATTGAATTACACTCTATAACAACATTCTGGACAGGAAATTTTCCAAAAAGTCAAAACATCCTTCCGTTTGACAAAAGTTGGCAGTGCTCAAGATACCTGACTTAGAAGAACCAGCCGCAAAAGTTTTCAATTTGTGTAACACGGTAAATTGTATGGCAGTATACGGCATAACCATAAGCAAAGCTGGAACATTGCCACGCCAAAAACCCTGTCAATACCATTTTTTCTTTTAATAAGAAGAAGCGTGTCTATGCTTTTATATTAAGTCTAGAAAAAGTCTCAGGGAGCAACAATAAGAAAAGTAAAACATACATTAAGAACTAAACAAAACTAAGGAGAGAGAAAGAGGAAAATCCAGAACAAAACAATTGTCAATGTCATACTATAAATTATTTATGTACCGGTAATCCTTCATCTCTGAAAATGTCCTTCGTTGCTTGAACCATTCCCGTATATTTTGAAGGTCCCGACAAATTTCTGCGAATCAAAGCCCATGAGGTTGTGGGCTCCAGTTGAACCTATCAGCATACGGGAACAAAAATACTCTTAAGTAAACTACAAACTTAACGAAAAAGAGGGGCAAAAAAAAAAAAAAAAAAAAAAAACAAAATTAGGGGCACAAGGGGAACAA